GGTGAGCCGCTGGGCTGGGGGATGGACACCCTCTACCCCACTCCGCTCTGGGACGACCTCTACGGCAACAGCAGCCCGCCGGTGGACCCGCTGGCCAACAGCACGGACGGCGCCTTCCTGCCACTGGGGCTCAAGGTCACCATCGTGGGCCTGTACCTGGCTGTGTGTGTCGGGGGGCTGCTGGGCAACTGCCTGGTCATGTACGTCATCCTCAGGTAGGTGGGCCGGCCTCCGCGGGGGATTGCCTTCCCGGGCCGGGTTGGCAGCATCTGCCCCGGCGCGCCACCCTGCTGCGGCGTCCTGCCAGGGGTGAGGGGCGGAGCCCGAGGGGCACAGCTCTGGCCCGGGCCAGGTGTGTCGGCCTGTCCAGCTGCCTCCTGCCCTCTGGCTCAGGCACCTGGCCCCTCTGCGCCTGGTAGATGCCGGCATCAGGGACAGCTCGGCTAGAGAGGGTGGCTGGGCTGCGTGGGAGGACAGCGAGGGGCCAGTGGGGGGGCTGGGGGTCAGTGAGAGGACTGTGAGGGGTCAGTGGGGAGACTGAAGGCCCAGTAGGGGACTGAGGGGCCAGTGAGGGAGAATGGGCGTCAGTGAGGGGACAGTGGGGGTCACTGAGGGACATTGGGGGCCCAGCGGGTCAGTGGGGGTCAGTGTGGGTCAGAGGACTGTGAAGGGTCAGCGGGGGCCACTGGGGTCAGTTGGGCTGGAACGGTGGGGCCGCCTTCCCGTGCCCTTGGGGTCCCTCTCCGTTGGGCCGTGTGGTCCGGCTGGGAAGCGAGGACGGCCGTGTCTGCGCACGTGGCCAGGGAGCCGTGAGTGCAGGGTGGGCCTGCGCCGGCAGGGTGCTGGGAGGCCGCGCGGTGCGGTCACCCCTCCGTGCCGCTGTGGCCTCTGCACGGGACTGCAGGTGCTCGGAGCCCCCGCGGTGGCGACTGCAGCGAGGGGCGCGGGGCGGCCGCACACGGGCAGGTGGGCCGCACGTCTCCTGGCAGTTTCAGGTCCACGTAAAACTGAGAGGAAGGCGCGGAGGCCTGCAGCGGGGACCGTCACCCCAGAACAGAGCGCCCCCACGAGCAGCAGCAGGCGCAGTGGGCGCCGGCTGCCGGGG